AGTAAAAAAAAAGTAATGAGAGGAAAAAACACAAAAAACCTCTAAATTCTTGTTAGAAATGATCAAAAAACATGGTTTTACTAAGAAGTAAATTTACGATGCTGTATCTCTAGAGGTCAGTATTGAGTAAGAGAATAAAGACAGCACATCTCAGTAGATAGTACCAGAATACTTTTAGATAGTTACTAATTCAATATTTTTAAAAAATATATTTTATGTTACATAAACTCAATACATTCAGCCATAACGCTTATATGGACAAAATTACTTCAACCACCTTAAAAAATACAGTAGGTGCTTAAATAAATGTAAATGATTGATAATGATAATGAGGTTAACAGTGATAAGGTAAAAGGTAAAATAGCAGTTAACAGAATGTGTTTATTCTGTCTGCAAGATATGCTAAAAAAAGTCCAGTAGGAAATAAGTAGCTGGTACTTTGCTACACAGACTTCAAACATTATAACTTATTTTTAATAGCTACAAATGTCCAATGAGTGGATATACTACACTTACACATTTATACATAACTTCATTAAAATACTATTCAAGTATCTCTTGCCTCTTAGAATTTCAAACTCAATGAATTAAGTCTGATGAGAATTTTGATCAGCTTTGCTCTAACTGCTGTCAACAACAATATCTAGCTCCCACGATAGTCAAGTATAGCTAAATTCTGGTGAACATACAATACTTGACAGTTGGTACTCTGCCAACAGCAATATACAGTCTGGATCTGAAAATAACAGTCTAAAAAGAGGGTACAAGCCAAACAAACCTTTGATCCAGGAATGGAAGGTCAAACCACCCCTAATTAAGGACTCACTGATTCTTTTCGAATGTTTGCCAACTAGCAAGTACCTATGTTCCAGCAGACTGGGCAGTCAGCTCCATCATAGAATAGGGCATTTTATTACTAACTTAAAAAGACATCTGTGGAACATAACTTGCTCCTAAGTTAGAGACTTTTGGCTTTTTTATTTTATGGGAGGTAAGCCTATGGGGGGAAATAATTCTTATGGAATAAAGATTTTTTTAAATGGGCATTTTATTATCTCTATTCTCCCCTCCAAAATGAACAGACCTGGAAACAGGGCCCAAAGAATGTGAATCTATTTACCTATCCAATATCAATTTACTCTGCATTTTCTTTATTATGGTTCTAACTTTCTTTGGAGTTGCAGGCTCTGTTGGCAGCTAAGGGTGCCACGTGACATTTGGCCAATGAGATGAAGCAGAGGGCTTCAAGTTATTCTTTCCTGATACAAAGAATATCTGGGATGGATCTTTTGTCCCTCTTCTTTCCCCTTTCTTCCTGTCTAGAATAGAGCCACGGTAACTGGAAACACCCACTTTCTAAGCACGCAAACAAAGTCACCTTCTAAGAAAAAAGGCAAAAAGAGAGGAGTCAGGTCCTTAACAGTATCATAAAGCCACTGAACCACAACTACTCTTTGGCGGTCCTATTAGCTGAGAAAAATAAAGCCCTTACTTGTTTAACCACTGTAATCAGATTTACTTAATATACAGCGAAACGCAATCCTAACTGATATAGAAGAGGCAATAAGGGACGTTGTCAAAAGAATAAGAATGGGCCTCAAAGACTTAAACTCCGTACTTTTATGTGCCTTTTTTTTAATTAAAAAAAAGTCATTGTAATTACTGTTTTATATTCTTTCCTGAGTTATTTTGAGGCTGAGTCAACTTATGTCAATACACTTCATAAACTGTGAGAATACTCAACAAATGTGAGGTATTAGTAGGGAATGATTAGCTCTTGCAGTAACATTTTGAACTATATGGTTTTCATGACAAGAGAAAACCATGACAAGAGCTGCTAAGCCCCTTTTCTCCTCTATAAAAAGACGACGTTTTCCTTTGTCACACAGAGTTATCTATTGAAAGGCTCAATGAGATAACATTAAATTAAATATTAAGTATTATTACAAAAGTGGTGTGATATACTGATTTGCATAAAATTCCTGGGGTTGATTCCTTCTCTAACTTAGCTAGATGACCTTGAGGAATGTACCAAATTTCTGAGTCTCATTTCCTCACCTGTAAGAGGGAGCACTAACAGTAATTGTGTCCCTCTCTCATGAGCTATACTAGGTGAAACAGTACTGCTAGAGTAGACTCCAATATACACTTTCCCTATTTCCCCTGAGTGACAGAATTCCTGAATTTTACCTTAGATGGTCACCATCACTGAAATAAAGACTACATTTCTAGCCTCCCTTATGGCTGAGTTCTAGCTATGTTTTGATCAGTGGATGTGAGCTGAAGTGATGCATGCAACTTATGGGTCAAACCCGTAGTGGGAAATGTCCTCCATGTCTCCCTTTTTACCCTCTCCACTGGTGGAATGTGGCTAAAGCAGTGAGCCATCCTCAGTCATGCAGAGGAGGGCAACAAATTTTAGCACAGCAAAGCAGCAGGAGGGAATGGACTCCACGCCTGGTACCAGGGAGCTGCCATGGTAGCGCTGGTCTGCTTACATATAGGCTGTTAGAGAAGGGAGAGAAATAAACTATTTTGTTCAATCTCCCATGTTTTGATGCATATTATTACAGCAGCCTAACCTGTATCCTAACTAATTCAGCAGGAACTCAAAGAAATATGTGAAAGCAATCCGTAAACCATAAAGCAATTATATAATTAATATTAAGGCACATTATCACAGTAATGGCATAAACCTTTTGTAGCTCATCAAATTGTAGACTTTAAAAACTATCTGAATTATGAAATGAGATTAAAGGTCAGATAGTACAAAGCAGATTTCGTTTTGAAATGTAGAACCAACACTCATAGAAATATATGTTTAGCCTATCTCAGAGCAGCCAGAATTTGGGATACAAGGTTATTGTCAAAGGAAATAATTTTAGAGTAATCAAAAATTAACCTTGTCTCTCTTTCTCTCCACTTGACAGAGAGCCTTCTAATGCACTGTCAACCACATCACTGAGACACAATGGAGAAGGCTGGAGTAAACGATAGAACTGTATGGATGCCTGGCGTATTAGCTTCCCAGGGCTGCCGTAACAAATTACCACAAACTCAAGGGCTTATGGTAAGCAAAATTTATTTTCTCACAGCCTGCAGGCCAGAGGTCCAAAATCAAGAAATTGGCAGGATTGTGCCTTCTGGAAGCTCTAAGGGAGAATCTGCTCCATGTTTCTCTGCTAGCCTCTGTGGCTACTGGCAATCTTTGGTATTCCTTGCCTTATACTGTATCACTCCAATCTCTGCCTCCACCTTCACATTGTCTTATCCCCTGAGTGTCTGTATACTCCCTGTTTCTTCTAAGGAGACTCTCATTGGTTTAAGGGCCCACCCTACTCCAGGATGAGGTAATCTTGACACTTACCTTAATTACATCTGCAAAGACCTTATTTCCACATAAGGTCACATTCTCAAGTCCCAGGTTGTTATGGGTTGAACTGTGTTCCCTCAAAAGGTATGTTGAAGTGCTAACCCCCAGTACCTCAGATCTGACCTTATTTGGAAATAGGATCATTGCAGATGTAACTAGTTAAAATGAGGTCATGCTGGAGTAGGCTGGGCTCTTAATCCAATATGACTGTTGTCTTTACAAGAAGAGAAGAGACACAGACCCAGAGACATAGGGAGAATGCCACAAGATGATGGAGGCAGAGATTGGAGTGATATGTTTACAAGTCAAGGAACACCACGGATTGCTGCCAAACTACCAAAGGTAAGAGAAAAACAAGGAAGGATTCTCCCCTACAGGTTTCAGAGAGAGTATGGCACTACCGACACCTTGATTTTGGACTTCTAGCTTCCACAACTGTGAAAAACTACATTTCTATTGTTAAAGACACATAGTTTGTGAGTTTTTTTTTTATGGCAGAACTAGGAAACTAATACAGGGGTGCACGTGACTTTGAGGGGGACATTACTCAATTCACTGTACCAGGTCATTAGGGCTGCTTTCAACAGTGACAAAGTGGATACTGTCACCATCAAGAACCACACCATCTTAAGAGGATAGTGGAGCCAAAAAGGCCTTAATCCTTGCCCCGTGTTTTTGACGGGAGTTAGCACAAAGGATGACGATTCCCTTCAGACTGTCAGCAACATTGCTTACACCATTAATTGTTTCCCTCAACTTTTCCACCGTGACAGCTTATGGTGTCATTGTGGACTTGTGACACAGTCCACACCCATCACTGCTATCTGGAAGACCATGGCTAGCCTCTTTGGCAAACTGCAGCATAATGGCTGCAGTGATACCAAAATGTCACCCCAGTATCCATTAGCACTGGCAAGGCTTTGGGTAAGGTCATTCCTGAGCTGAATGGGAAGCTCTTTGGCATGGTCTTCCACACTCTCACTGCCAACACGACCATCATACATCTGACCTGCCATGTGCAGGAAGCTAAGGAACATGTCTGCATTAAGAAGGTAGGGAAGCAAGGGTCCAAGGGAACTCTGAAGGGCATCCAGGGCTACAGAGGGATTAGCCTGATTATTGAGACTTTCACAGTGACACCATCCATTTTTGATGCTAAGGTTGGCATTGCCCTTAACCATCACAATATGCCCTTAACCACCACAATATTAAGCTCATTTCCTGATATGACAACAGATTTGGCTAATGCCACTTCATGGTGGACTTCAGAATCCACCCAGAATGTGTAAGAGCTCTAGACCTTTTCCCCAGCAACAGCATGAGTAAAACAGAGAGGACCTCAGCTGCCCGGGAGTCTGTGCCCAACTGTATTGCCCAACACACTAAGAATCTCTCCTCTTCATCCAACACAGCTTCTGTCCTCTAAAGAAAGTTTAGAAAGCTCTGCTTTGTCATGTATTATCAGTACCAATGATAAAATCCTCACTGTATCCAGTGAAGGGGTGACGTAGGGTAGGGGATTGACTTATTTAATAACTACTGAGCTCAGCTGAGATTCTGACAGGATGGTAAGTACTATAGACAAAAGATTTAATAATATTAACTCTTGCTCTAGCATACTTCTTACCTGTATAGTCAGAAAATGGCTTATGTATTACTCCTAGCACAGGTTTACCATTTACAGCCACACACACCATAGTAGTGACATACTTTCGAAGATCCTCTATGAGAAAAAAAACCAAAAACACAATTGTCAAAGTAACAAATAAATTCAGGATACAATGTTACACTTTATTTCACTAAAAATTTATGTACATGAAATGTCTTTCTTCGTCAACAATCCCCTCAGACAGTCTAGCAATGAGAGCCAGTGTAAGGGAGTACTTGAGTTTTGGTTTCATACGCAGATTACCTGGGTTATTTTCCCAGCCTACCATTTTATTAGCTGCCTGTCTCTGTGTGAATTACTTAAATTCAGTTTCCTCATCTGTAAAATATAAATACTAATTAAATACCCATTTTAGGTATAAATTAAATTTATTTTTAATTTTAGGGTTAAATTTAAAAATCAAGTTAAGTACTTAAATAGTCCCTGCACAAGGGATGCACTCACTAAATATTATCACTACTATACAATCAAGCCAATCTCAGTTTAGAAAACTTTTTAAATTAAAAAACCCCTCAATATTCCATATTTCTATTATCCACTCCTGCAAAATACTGTTTTATAATTTCAGTTACTATTACATATACACACCTAGTGTCTTCTCCCTGTTCTCCAAATAGTTAACTATTGAGTGTCTATTATGGGTCAAGTTCAGTGCTTAAGCATTTGAATACAAAGGTAAGGAAGCAAAAGCTCCCACATTCAGAGAACTTACCATCTAGAAGGACAAATATATAAGCAACCAACTTTAACATATATACCAAGAGAACAGAGAAAAAGCAGGAATTAGGTCTCTCTGGGTAAGAAACAAAGCATGGGAGAGGATCCACAGAAATGAAATCTAAGCGAGAACTAGGTAAAAAGAATGAAAATGGGGGGCGGGGCGTAATTCTCTGATTTGCTACTTGCTTTCTGGGTGCCTAGGATTACTATTTTGAATTCCAAGGATAGATGTATATGCAACAAAACCCAAATTCCCAATATCACAGGTAAATATTGTATTCTAGCTATATAAAGAAAGACCTCAATAATACACACCTCAATATATAAACACCTCAATAAAAAGGCGTGCAGTAGGAACCATTTTGTCGTTGTGACTGCTAAAAACTTCCCTTCACTGAAGAATCAGTGACATACTGAGCCACTGTCACCAATAGGAATATGCCATAATACAGTAGGGGCGGGGGCAGGGGTTAACAGGAACTGATCCAGTCCAGATGTTTCACACCATACTGCATTAATGCAGCTCTCTGTCTTAAAATCTAATCATAAGAGCTGTCTTGGACTGGGAAAATATCTACCAACATGTATATACCACCTGCCCTAGTTCTGGTTCTCTAATAAATAACGGCAATCTAAAGTTTGAGATCAATTTTAATTTTAAAATTACCCGTATACTCCTGTGTAGCATCAAGTGGGTCGATCCAGACAGTAACACTTTCTGCTGGTACCTCTTTAGGGGTGGCTATTTCCTTCAGGATGTCCTCAGGAATCTTACGATCCCATAAGATAACCTCCTGATCAGCTGCATCCACATGTTCCTCAGTATTTATCTGCATCAAAAATAGTTGACAGTTAAAAAATTTAAAAACTAAGAAAAAAATCACTACCTGAGAAAACAGAAAAGAGAAACATTTCAGACAAAATCACATAAATTGAAAGTAGGTAAATCAGTATTTTTATTTCGAGGCATTTCATTACAAAATGAAAATATATTGTAAAAGAAATTCCAGGGACATCTTGTCTTCGAGTACTTTCCAATCTAATATTCAAGCTTAGCTTGTTGTCTAAGCAAGACACAGAAGCCAAATATAGAGAAACTAAGCATCAAAGAAACAGTTATTTAAAGCTTAATGATATTTACGAAAAATAACAGATCTAAAGTGTAAAAATAGACTGACAATATCCTGAAACACAAGCAACTGAACTGAACACAAGCAACTAGTAAGAGTTAGAAGGAGAAAAGTAATAATGGACTTAAAAAGTATTAAGCCTTAAAAACAGGGAATTTATGAATGCTAAGAGATGTAACATCCTAGAAAAGTAATCACCTAAAATATACCTGTGATCAATAGGAAAAAGGAAACCTGGAAATGATGAAACAGATAATAAACTAGTATATTATAAAATATAAACAAAGCTGAAAAGAGTAATCAAAAGAGACAAAAAAAGATCAATCTTCTCTTCATTATACACCAAAGATGTGTCACAGGATAAGGAGGTAAAGTCAAATTTTTTATTTTTTATTTACTAGAAAACAAAATTAAAATATAAAATAAATCTCACTTACCATACAGATATGTAATGGTGTGGGCGAGCAGAGAACCACTGCTTTCAACAGTGAGTTTTTTAATGCAAACTTAAAATATATTCTGATTAACAAAAAGATGATTTAAAGATAATGTGTTACGGGCCGGCCCCGTGGCTTAGCGGTTGAGTGCGTGCACTCTGCTACTGGTGGCCCGGGTTCGGATCCTGGGCACGCACTGACGCACCGCTTGTCCGGCCATGCTGAGGCGGCATCCCACATACAGCAGCTAGAAGGATGGGCAACTATGACATACAACTATCTACGAGGGCTTTGGGGAGAAAAACGGAAAAAAAAAAAAGGAGAAGGATTGACAATAGATGTTAGCTCAGGGCCGGTCTTCCTCAGCAAAAAGAGGAGGATTGGCATGGATGTTAGCTCAGGGCTGATCTTCCTCACAAAAAAATAAAGAAATAAAATAAAGATAATGTGTTAGAACTGTATTTAAAATACATTTACAAATTAGGACATGCCAATGAAGCAAATTTAAGAATTGATTGCACTTTAAGAATTAAGTTAATAACAAACTGTCAATTTTACTCAAATACTGCTTTAGCAGAAGACTTCTCTATCAGATCATAATATACACACGCAAGAAAAATGTCCTCAAAACGTGAATTTCAAGTAGGGACTAACACCTAAACAGGACAGGCTTTTGGGTACTGTGCTTTCTGACAAGCTCTGTTTCCAGAGTAGATCACTGTGTTTATACTGCATATGATGCCATGCACAGTCTCAGAATGACTGTAACACTCACAATACATGAGTAAAAAGTCACACAGGATGAAAACCTTACAACTATCAGCAATCTCCTGAAAGTACCCTGAAATATCCCAAATTGTCACAGAGGTTAAAATAGTAATATTCCAGAAACATCGAGTTGCTTAAATCATAAAATAATTTTAGTACAGTGTACAGTAAACATCTAATTTATCCATTCACTTATTCCTTTATTGATTCAGTAATGTTTACTGACTGCTTACTACATGCAAGACAGTTCCGGAGCATAATGCACAATGGTGACCAACGTGAGCCAAAAATCTCTGGCCTTGTGGATCTTAGATTCTAATGAAGGAGATAAACAATAAACAAGATAAATAAGTAAAACATGTAAAGGAAAAATGTTCTTTAAGATAGGGTGGCTAAGATTATTCATAATAGCCCAAAACTAGAAACTACCAAATGTCCATCAACTGTTGAATGGATAAACAAAATGTGCTAGATCCATACACTGGAATATTATGATTCCATTTACGCAAAATGTCTAGAACAGGCAAATCTATGGAGACAATAGATTAGTAGTTGCCTGGGGCAGGGGGTGGAACCGGGATTAGCAGTAAATGAACACAGGGATATTAGTAGGGTGATGAAAATGTTTTAAAACTGATTAATGATGATGATTGCATAACTCAGCAAATCTACTAAAAACTACTGAATTGGACATTTGAAATGCACGAATTATATGATATGTAAAATATGTTTGTTTTTTTAAAAAAAAAGAGTAGCTAAGGAAGGCCTCACTGAAAAGGTGGTAAGGTGGTATCAGAGTGAAAATCTAAAAGAAGTGAGCCTAGCAGGCATCTAAAGGAAGCATATTCCAGCCCATGAAGTAACAAACGCAAAGGCCCTGAGGTGGGAGTCTGCCTCGTGTATTGAGAGCACAGCAAGGAGGCAAGCACGGTGAGAGCAGAGAGAGCCAAGAAGGAGCTGGAGATCAGGTCCAAGGTCAGAAAGTAAAGGGAGCCAGATGGTGAAGGACCCTCCAGGCACGACAGTCAGTTGCCCTCCACCACACGTAACCTCTATTAACAACGTGTAGAGGGGCCCAGACGTTGCAGAAAGCTAAAGGAAGGTGGGGGTGTGTGGGGAGGTACAAGGATTAGAAAGAAACAAAATCATAATATGCAATTATGACTGATCATTGAGAAATACCAAAAGAACTTGTGGATAAATTAAGGAAACCATTTAAACTAACAACAGAAATAAATTACCTGGAAATAAATGTATTCAAGTTGTGCAAAAACACCATGGAGAAAACTAAACTATATTAAAAATATTAATCACTTTAAAAAATGATAAAGATGTCATTTCTCCCATCAGTAAACTATATATTTAATGCAACTCCAATCAAAATCCATAAAGGATTTTTTTTACCCCTTCTTGGAAATGCGACAAGCCATTTTAAAAACATTTATATGGAAGAGTAAACAGCCAGGAAGAGCCATGACATTTTGGAGACAAGCAAAAAAAGGAATATCATTGGGGGGTGACTTTCCTTAACGATATCAAGACTTTTTTTTTTTTTTTTTTTTTTGATGAGGAATATTAGCCCTGAGCTAACATCTGCTGCCAATCATCCTCGTTTTTGCTGAGGAAGATTGGCCCTGGGCTAACAATCATGCCCATCTTCCTCTACTTTATCTGTGGGACACCTGCCACAGCATGGCCTGATGAGCAGTGTGCAGGTCTGGGCCCGGGATCCAAACCTGCGAACCCTGGGCCACCGAAGCAGAGGGCATGAACCCAACCACTACGCCACTGGGCGGGACCCTCAAGACTTATTTTAATGCTGGAATAATTAAGACTCTGGCACTGGGGATGCATTTTGGCTTTTTTCCCCCTAGCTTCACTGAAATATAATGGACAAATAAAGTTGTACACATTTAAAGTGTCCAATGTGATGATTTGATATAAGTACATGTTGTGAAATGATTACCACAATTAAGTTAATTAATGCATCCATCACCTCACATATTTACTTTTCTCTTTTGTGGTGAGAACGCTTAAGATCTACTCTTGAAGCAAATTTCCAGTATACAATACAGTATTATTAACCATAGTCATCTTGCTGTACATTAGATCCTCAGAACTTATTCATCTTAGCTATAACTAGAAGTTTGTACCATTGACCAACCCCTCCCCATTTCTCCTACCCCCTAGACTCTGGCAAGCACCATTCTACTGTTTCTATGAGCTCAATTTTTTTTTTTTTAAGATTCTACATATAAGTGATACCGTGCAGTATTTGTCCTTCTGTGTCTGGCTTATTTCACTTAGCATAATGACCTCCAGGTTCATCCATGTTGTCTCAAATGGCAAGATTTCCTTCGTTTTTGATGAATAACATTCCATTGTACATATATATATCACATCTTCTTTGATAGGGATTGCACTGAATCTGTAGATTGCTTTGGACAGTACGGATATTTTTAAAGTATTAATTCTTCCAATCCAAGGACATGTGATATATTTCCCTTTATTTGTGTCCTCTTCAATTTCTTTCATCAATGTCTTACAGTTTTCAGTAAAAAGGTCTTTCACCTGCTTGGTTAAATTTATTCCTAAATATTTTACTGTTTGTGATGCTATTGTAAATGCAACTGTTTTCTTAATTTCTCTTTTGGGTAGTCTGTTGTCAGTGTATAGAAACACAACCGATTTTTGCATGTTGATTTTGTATCCTGCAACCTTGACTAATTCATTTACTAGTTCTAACAGTATTTTAGGGAAGTCTTTAGGATTTTCTATATGCAAGATTATATCATCTGCAAAGAGAGACAATTTTACTTCTTCCTTTCCAATTTGGACCCATTTTATTACTTTTACTGTCCTAATTGTTCTGGCTAGGACTTCCAGTACTACATTGAATGGAGGAATGGAAGTGGTGAGAGTGGGCATCCTTGTCTTGTTCCTGATCTTAGAGGAAAAGATTTAGCTTTTCACCATTGAGTATAATGTTAGCTGTGGGGTTGTCATATATGGCCTTTATTATGTAGAGGTATATTCCATCGATACCTAATTTGAGGGCTTTTATCATGAAAAGACACTGAATTTTGTCAAGTTATTTTCTGCATCTCTTGAGAGGATCACATGATTTTTATCTTTCATTCTGTTAATGTGGTATATCACATTCATTGATTTACATATACTAAACCATCCTCACATCTCAGAGATAAATCCCACTTGATCCTGGTGTCTGATCCTTTCAATATGCTGTTAAATTCAGTTTTCTAGTATTCTGTTGAGGATTTTTGCATGTATGATCATCAGGGATATTGGTCTATAATTTCCTTTTCTTGCAGTGTCCTTGTATGCTTTGCTGTCAGGGTAATACTGGCCTCATAAAGTGAGTTTTGAAGTGTTCCATCCTCTTCAATTTTTTGGAAGAATCTGGTAATGACTGATATTAATTCTTCTTTAAATGTTTGGAGGAATTCATCTGTGAAGCCATCTGGTCCTGGGATT